AAAATTTTGAAAACACTCGTGCAATTAATCCTTAATAGTACTCGGCCTCATGTGATTACCTATACTAATTAATCGACGTTAACTTCCTTTTAAAAGAGTTAGTTTTTACATACTTTATAACAGATGATATTAACCCAATTCAGACCAGACTGGGTACACCTCAGAGACCCTCGTACTAGTAACTTTAAAACTGGTTATGCCATGCCCAAACAAATTAACGGCACAGGGTGATGCAGAAATGACTTCTGCCGGCAACATATCCTTTGCTGTCATTATGGAATTTATTATGAAAGGAAATATTTATGTTTACTTTGATAGGTTATTGCCATATTATGGAAAATCCATAAATCCAACCAGAAAAGACGAGAAGACTAAGAGCAAACACTACGAATTTTGAAAATCTTAATTGTCAAAACACGCAAACTTGCAAGGTTGATGAACACAACACCACTGTGTTATGCTTCTAATTAAATTTTTGGAAAATTCATCAAATATGGTCATTATAGTGCAATTAAGTCACACAAGTGCAATTAAGTCACATAAGTCACACAATTTAAGTCACACAACTTAAAGTTGGCGAGGCCAGTTAAGGTTACTGTAGACCTTCAAGGGCCTATTTTGTCCAAAATAATTTGTTTACACCAAATTCAAGACTTCTACTTTATCTGAATTTTCCAAAAAAAATTGTTTTAAAAACTTAAAACGCGAACGAGTTATCCACAAAAACGTGAATGTTTAAAACGAGTCAATGAAGAGCCAATTAAAATGTGTCAACCTTTGAGTTGAGCAGTAACAACTTTCGCGGCAACTGATCTCATCCGCGGAGTCGTATTTCGCTTCTTTTGTTTATCCCTTACATCTTGCAATTTCTCGCACAGAAATCTTCTTGCTGATTGTTTTCTTTTCGTAAGTGATAGACTAGGCGATTTTGCATGGTCTTCGTGTTCCCACATTTGAACGTAAGCGCAAATCGCAAGCGAATGTTTCGTCGATGCCCTGCTCTAGCTTCTTCTGGCACAGAAGTTGATTGCCGCGAAATTACAGGCGAATTTAATCGCTGATGTCTGACAAGACACCTTCTCCAAATGCTCCTTTCCTCAGCTTCGAAGAGTGTTTTTCCATATTCTAGTAAAACAAACAGGCTGATGAATTACGCGTGTAGTATTTTTTTTTTTGTAATGTGGAAACATCCGCCCTGGGTCTGTTCAAGGCTATTCCGCTATCATTCCTCTTTTTTTTTCCCTCTTCGTTCTTCACCATTTATCTGCTGATTCGGTTTATAAGCTGCTGAATGTTTCTCGGCAGACTTCGCTACTCCCGATGTAAGATATAAAGATATACTATGAATACAAACATTGCACATTCATTTCCGGGAAGCGTTACTGTAGCCCGCTGGGGAGTTCGAAGCTGCGTTTCATTGGTTGGCGACATGGCCACGTTAACAACCGCTTCAGTGAGATGCGAAAAATGTGAGTTTCTTTCGAGGCCGAAAACTCAAGGGTTTTTTTCCGTGAATTACCTCTATTTAAATGAATTAATAGGGCATGTAGATCTATAGGATTTTAACGAAACTTGCCAAACGCCTCGTCAGATATTGGTGCACCAAAGTGTGTGAGGCTTTTGCGAAAATCGAGTTTTTTTTCCTGTGATGTCCCATTGAGTAAAAGCAGTCAGAAAATTTCCCATTGTCCAAATTTAAAGGGGATTTCCTAAGCAATCAATAGATATATCGAAAAAGCCTCACACACTTTGTTAACCCATCATCTCCTGATTGATAATGTCCAGTCAGTTTGGATGTCCGCGGTAATTCAAAGGGTGGTAATTCAGTTTGCCACGTGCGGTCATTTTTGTTCATATCATGGATATTGCTTTTGTGACGGCCGCGAGCATAGCAAGGCCGGCACATTATTCGATACTTTGACTTAACAGGTCTATAAAAAGATAGCCAGTAAGAATACAAAAAACCCCTGTCACACTTTGGGAGATTGATGCCTGCTGATTAGCATTGTGCAGTACAAGAAGCCTGCTTCTGGCAGTACATAAAAATATTCTGCTGTGTTTGATACGGCGAGATGGCAATCGGTCGTTTTCCGTTTGCCGGCTTCGTTCTTCACAACAAAGGCACGGACAAAACAGCGGGTACTTATATAGTTTGATATATAGTTTGTGGTAGTTTTCTTTCAAAACAATGCTAGTATGATGTTTTATCTGAAGGACACCCGCGAAGGTATTGTTTACAGTGTAACCTAATTCTCCGCATTTTCTCTACAATTTTTGATTTATTTTCTAGTATAAATGTCAAATCATTCTTCGTTACTTGCAGGTCGTTGTGTCGATGGTGTCAACAATTACACATGCATGTGCTATCCTGGTTATGTTGGAAGAAATTGTGAACACAACTTCAATGACTGTGCCTCATCTCCTTGTGTTCACGGTTAGTGTTTAAATCATTTCTCCTGCCATACTTTAGTATAGTCTCCCCTAATTAAAACGTTTTTCTTGAGCATCTAATTACCTTTTGAGATGCACAATAATAGACTACTTACTACCCTAAAAAGTTGTAAACAGTAATAACTCAGTGCCAAATTAAAAACGGCGTCTATAACAGACGTTTCCGGCCTAGCCCTTTCTCAGTGCTAAATTGAGTTTATAACATAGTCTTAGGGAAGAGCGCGTGCTGATTGGCTAGTACGCTCGATCCATTTGCCCGTGGGTTGCACGCTAACGTCAGCTGTTCATTTGTACTTTTTCTCGGTAATTTTTGTCATCGATGTTGACACTTTGTAAAACTTAATTCCTATTTTCTTCTCCTGAAATATGGAAAAATCAAATAGTTCTTCCGGAGTTGAGGAATTTTATTCCTGTGAGCTACCAAATTTTGAGCTTAAGTTTTTTGCCAGGCCTCCCCCTAAGAAATTGGAAATTTAAGTGAACAGGAGTTGAACCAGCTGGTTGAACAAAGGCACTCAGCACTTGGAGACGGACCAAAAAACCAACAAACTGGTCTGTATCAACCTTTTTAGGTCACTAATGCTTTGCGGGAATTTTAGAGAGAGTTTTCTAGCGATTTAACGACAATGAAATTCAGCACAAGCTTTCTTTGCAAAACTTTTCTGGCATATTTTCTGGCATAGAAAGCCATTTAAATGCTTTTGGCGAACAAAACTTGAACACGAGAGCTTTAACAAATCTCTGTTTGTTAAGTCTTACATACGAAATCCTTCTTTTCCAAAAACGGAATAATAATTTTTATTTACTTGGGAGGCTTGCTAAGCACTCAAGAAGCTAGAGTTGCACTCGGCTATCGCCTCGTGCGACTCTTACGCTTCTTTCGTG